CTTCTGTGCCTGCAACTGCCACCCAGCCCCAAATGAACAAAACCAGGCTGATGAATGCATTCCTAACTTTCCCATCAAGCTGTCTTCCTTCCTCAATTTTATTTGCTCCATTTATTTATTCATTTCAATCATTGTCCTTCAATACCACAGAGCAGCTTTAAGACACAAATATGCTGTCATCAGACATCTCAAATTTTCCTTAGGCACTGTCAGCAAAAGCACACCCTCCAAACCTACCACAACTACATGGGGCTCCTCCTGAGCTGGTGGGACCAGAGGGAAAACAGCTGAGGGCCAGTACTGGGAGGTCCCAAGCACTTGCAACTGCTTTGGCCTCCACTGGAGGTACAGACAGCTGAACCCTCGAGGTGCAGCTGGGCACTTCAGTGGTTATGTGGGGAAAGGAGACATCTGTCCCTGACTGCTTGCAGCAGGACAAGGAACAGCAAAGGTGCCTCCCTCCTGCTCAGACTGAACCCTCACTGCTGTTGAACAGCATTACTTTCCTCTCCCAGGGAGAAGGGGAGGGATGGACTGAAAGGAAGCCTGACCTTCCTGGAAGAATGGACTTATTGATGCTGTGCTGGGCTGAAAGCTGAAACCACTGAAACACTGGGCCTAGAGAAGGGAATTACCAGACCAAGGCTGGCATGATTCAGTAATGCAAACTAAGCCTCACACAGCTTCCTCTTCCTAACCCCATTCCTCCTCTCTGAAAGGCTCTTTGCATGTTTTAACCAAATGGAAGCAGTGATCTAGACATCAAGCAACCTTGCTCATGCCAGGCTGTGCATCTGCACAAGGCAGAGGGACATAAATCAGACAAGGTGCAGGCAGTCAACTCCTTCAGGAAGGCTTCCCTGAGGTTCCCCATTGTGCTCAAGCAGCAGCAAAAAACCCATCTACCCAAACACTGACATATCTTTGCTCCCCACTGACCTCAATATAAAATTCATATTTGGAGAGCAGAACCCCATGAGCCTGGTCTCATTTACCTGGTTGCCTCCTTGGGAAATACCCCACCCTTCATAGGAGTTCTTACCATTGAAGATACAATTTAAGAGGCTCAGGAACAGGAGGGCGCAGGCAGCTTGGAGCCTCCAAGCCTTCACTAAACACCTTAGCAAGCACCATGCAGTCACACAGCTGCCAGGCCCTGAGCGGGAGGTACCACCAACACAAGGGAAAGTTTCCACAGTCCCTTTCTCTGGAGGCTTTCTGCCACACTGCCATGGATAAGCTGCTGCTTTAGGATGTCCAAGTCCTCCCTGCTGGAAATGAGAGTACAGTGCACTTGAGCTGGCATTGGTTTCTTCCTATTTTTCTAGCCCTTGCCAAGACAGCTTAAAAGAAGTTTTGGCCTATGCCTTGTTTACAAACTCAGCTCGGGGGAGAACCCAGGTTTTAGTTTGCTCGCCAAAGGCCAACAGGGCTGACCCCAGTCAATAGCTGTCCAGTCAATTCACTGAAGAATGAGAGGGGACTAAATCAGAAAATGCCCAAGACTGATGGCTTGAGAGGAGTCTGGCCCCATGTCTCATCCCACAGACAATACTGTGACCAGTGATTATACCGCAGCATGCTACACAGAAGAAACCTTTTCCATCCCAGACATAGTAAAATACTGTTCTGTAGTACAAGCTGGAGCAATGATGTGGTGCAGAAGTCCCAGACAGCCTTGGAGGCAGGATTACTCATTTATTTATCACAAAACTCAGATGAAGTTGTGTACTTATATCGCTATAGGGCAAGGAGTGGAGACAGGCAGACCTTTTACATTTCCAGGAGACTTGTTTTAGCAACTGATGATATACAGGGACAGGATTCTCCAAGCTTACTTTAGCTCAAGAATACAAAATCCTGTTACCCCATATATCATCAGTTCACTAGCCACATAGGTGCTATTTAAAGCCCTAGGCTTTAAATGCTTCTTGGCTGGTTCTCTGCAATGCCTGCTGCCCTGCCATGGGGAACAAGACCCTTGCTTTGGGAAATAATTTTCCATCAAGGCTGGCTGAGCTGGCTCTGCCCTTCCCCCAGAGATTAGGTATGTCAACAGCCAGGGTCTTGAACTCACCAGATCTCAAAGAAATAAGTAGCTTACACAGGTGGAATTCGGTAGAGATAATGGAAATAAACACCATCTCGATATCTGAGGAGTTTCTGTGCACTGTTTCACTTGCGTCTACTAGCCCACAGGTGCCTTACAAGCTAAAGATACTTCAGCTGACTTGTTTTTTCATGCCACCCTCGCATGTTTCTAAAAGCATCTTTCCTTTTGATCACATGGCAGCAGGTACTGACTTGCTTATGCATACAGCAGTGTTACTAGTGCCTGTGCTAAACACATGCTGCACAGGTGAGCCCTGCAACGCTGTCTGTGGCTATAGAGCCATCACCGCACCCACACTGTCACGTTTTTGTTCAGCGTAACCCCAGGTACAGCCCTACTCAGCGCCTGGCCACCTTCAGATGAAGGCTTGCTCTTCCTCTCCTCCACCCCGCTGAGCTCAGCCATCAGGAATATGGAGGAAAATTTCTGGCCATTTGCACTCGGGATGAGGAAACAACCAGCCCACACTCTGTCCAGCAGCGTGAACACCAGGTTACGTGAGGACATGCCAGCAGAGCCCGCATACCACTGCTGGGTTATGAGCACTTCAGATCTGACTGACTCTGCTCAGGAGACTGAAATATAAACAGCACTTTTCTGGGAGGAGCGGCTCCCATCTAAATACTGCCCCACCTTAGTCACAGGTTAAAATAAATAAACAAACAAAGCCACACTGCTCTCCCAGTTGGCCTGCTCACAGCCATGTGACTGGCGTCAGCCTTCACCCCAAGGTGAAATACGGACCCAAAGGCTGGCTCCCAGCTTCCTGGTGCTCCAATGGCACATGCGGGATGGGCAGTAGCCCCTAACTGGGATTGTGCGGACCTCGGCTTGCAGTGTAAGGGAACACTTGCCTGGCAGACAGCAGAGCCCCGCTGCACACCACCTGCTCCCGGCTCCATCACACTTACATCAGGGAAATACTGAGGGGCCAGGACACATTTAACCAAGCCATCCTCACGTGACCATGTGGATCTGAAAAGAAGCACAGGAGACCTGCATCTGCTTTCCATCCCACATGGAGCCACATCTGGGAAGCAAACAGAGGCCACTGAGCAGCATCGGTCTGAGGAGGCTGGGGAACAGGACTAAGGCAGTAGTTGCCTCTTTCCTGTCCTCTGGTGAGCAAGAATAGCTGTGCTAGGAGCCAAGAAGGCACACTGGGGCAGGATCAGCCTAGACCTGCTCTGTTTCTTGTCCTCCTTCTCACAGCATCTGCTGCTGGCCCTTGTCAAAGACAGGATAAACAGCTAAGTGGATCTTGTATCTGGTGCAACTCAGTCATTTGTACTCCCCTACCTTGTGAGCTGTGAGTCTGGCCAAAGCTCCTGTGTGTGCATGAAAGACAATCCCAGTGTTAAATATATTCCTTCTCTTTATCCAAAATAGAAATGGCTCCTCAGCCTGCAACATTACCAAGCTATGTTAAAACAACTAAGTATAATCAGAAATGTAGCTGGAGGTCTAAGCATGGGGTGAGCAACCACGAGCACACATTTTAAGAGGCACTCTCCCAATGGGCTCTGAAAGCTACATACAGTGTATCTGCCTGTTGCTAATTATATTTACTGGTGGTGGTTGGGTTTTTTTTTCAAGCTGAAGATGAGTCAGAAAAAGAAAAAAGTCCTTTATTGTTGTGGAAGCAGAAGGATGTCTCCTGAGGGTGTATGTAATGCACTACTGTCACGGCATGACAATGGAAAAACTGACTGCTGAGCCAACCAAACCCGCATAAATACCTAATGATATCTCTCCTGGCCCAGATTTTCTACAAGCCGGTGCCTGAACTGCATACGAAATGACAATCGATATGAAAGGATCTCTCTTCCCAACAGAGTCAGAATTTAAGAGCCCAGCTGAGCATTGTATTCCAGTTCATACAAAGAGATCCTTTTAAAGGTCTGTCACAATGACTTAAAGGTGGTGATCCAGCAAAAACACTACTAGGCCTCTCCCCCACGCCTTGTGCCATTGGCACACAGGACAGCTGGCTTCAGCGAACAGGCATCGCTATTCACTGCGATACAGTGACACGAACAACGTGCGCGTGGGGACGTTTCTGGGTCCACATTCACATGGGACAAGAACAAGATTTTCTTCCTTTTCCTTGTGGTCTCCTCCTCCCATACAGGCTCGGGTATCTCCGCCGCCTCGTGTAGTGGGCTGGGGAGGCGGCTGTGCCAGGCACCTGGCCCGGTTACAGGTACGCACACAGGGACAGGGAGCCCGTTGTGTGAAAACCCGGCCTTAGCAAACCTCTCTGGCCGCCGGCCAGCCTCCGCACATTGGGCAAGCGACTCTCCCTGGCCGCGGTTACATCAGTCACCACCACCTCCCTCAATGCCATGGCATGGGAAGCGGCTGCCAGGGGGAGAAAGAGAGGGAGAGAGAGAGAGAGGCAGTCTCTGGTTTTTGAAACCGGCAGTCCAAAACACATTACAACACCCTCGCCGGTTTCCAGTGGGTTTGCTCAGTTCCTCCCTTCCCGTGAAGACCACACAGGCTTCGCGAGGGCGTTCCGCCCTGCCGCAGAAAGGCGGTCTCTGGGGCCCGCCGCTCCTGGCGGCCGCTCTGCAGCAGCGTGATTCCCCCAGCTCCCTCCTCTCCCCTGCCTGCTCCAGCCCCTCGTGCCCTGCCGGACTCACACACCCTTGGCACAGAGGCTACTCAGGGCAGCCCTGCCGGGACATCAACACTGCTTTCCCAAGGCACCAGGTTGCCATGGCCCAGGCCGCAGGGACTGCCAGCCCAGGGGTGTGTGCTGGAGCACTGCTGCCAAATCCTGTTCTCAGCCACTGCCCCAGTGTAAATTTAGAGCGATTCCCCTGCGACAGTGACCGAGGATTTGTTCTGTGCGAAAGGGCAGAGCAGACCCTGGACAAGGGCTGGCATTTCAAAACAACCATCTTGGGCCTGGTGCAAGCACAATCACCTGAAAAAAGAGAGCAAAACTGGCAGACAAAAACACTGCTCCTGGCATGTGAGCACTTCCACACCGATCCAACACTTAAAAACACACTGAAGTGAGGATGCCCTTTCTTCAAACCCTCCACCAATTCACTTTCACTCTTGGCAACCTGCTGCCTCCTCACTCTTCAGCTCCTTCACCCTGACAGCACCAGAACCCTCCTACAGCAGTGTTTCAGTCCTCCACTGCCAGACCCTGCCAGCCTCTGTGCTGCCTCCCCTTGTTCCCTCCTCTGCTTCACCTCCTGCTTAAAGTCCTTCTGAGGAGGAGCTGAAATCTTTGCAATGACCATCCTGCACCATATCCCACCAGGGGCCTGACTACCCTACCAAAACCAGGGATAAATGCTTGCTGAAGTCCATGGGGAAGCCTGCACCCGGGAGGGCGATGGAGAGGGGCCTCATGCTGCAAATCTGCCCCTTATCCCTCCCTCTCCTGGGACAGGAGCCCATGCAGGTCTGCAAGCTGGCCAGATCAGGGTAGCTTTCCTCCAGTCAGACGCTCTGGAAGGATTATTTGGCTGCAACATATCATATGACTTTGTTCTTAGAGTTACATTTTAACTGAGAAAGTTTAACAAGTATGACTTATGGGCTTCTAAAATTGGCAGCAGAAAAATGAGCTCAGGAAGTCATGGAAAAAAACCACAAGCGAGGCCATTCCATGTTATGCACAATTTCTGGGCTCTTTTTCCAATCTTCTGGTTTTTTGGATGGTGGAAAATATTTTCCAGCTACACAGGCCTGGCCTCACTGAGTACGTATTTATGCCAAGTTTATAAAAAGCAGCTGCAGACAGGGTTGAATGAAAGGATTACACTTCTGTCTGTCTTCCAGAAGGTGCTTCAGTTCACACCCTGTCCCACAGAACGAGGCTCATTCCTCAAATCTCCATGAACTTATGCAAAGAGGGACAAAATTTTGAATGGCACAATACAAACATGTGAACGCGCATGTGAGTGGGTATGCATCTGTATACATCTAGCTAGCTGGCTAGCTAACAGCAGTTCCTAGCCACTGCTAATGCTGGCTTCTAGCACTTGAAGTTTACCACCATTCCTCCAACCTCTTCCCACCCTACAACCTGGTCCATCTTCCACTAACACAGCAAGGGGGAGAGGGCTTTCTAGCTCAAGACCCTAGTCTCAGTGTACCTCTGCTGCCTGCTTCATGTATACTTGCTCTCCGGCTTCTTCCACTGAAATTCAGGCTTCACCCACCTCACATATTCTCATGCTGCCAGGCTTTCAGGCAAGGAGGGACTGCTGTAAGTGTGCATCCTGACCTCTGCAGCACAGTGCCACTGAATTTCAACCAAGAACCTGGGCAGAAGAGGCTTAACCTTAATTTTCAGCCATGTCTTGCCATAGCCTTGGCCTAATACACGAGTCACAAGAGGAGAGTCATTTAGGAGTTCACTCTCCTAAATAGAATAGCTACAGGGAATGCAGGGAGAACACAAACTGAAAGTAAATGGATATAAAAAGGTAAGGTAGGTGGTAAGCTGCAGATCATACACTACAGATCTGTACCCTGCTGTTTTTGCAGTCGAGTATCTTAGAATAACAGTACTAAGAACGACAGTGTTACATCAGGAATATCGGTCAAGACAATATTTCCTGGCAATTGTTTGAGAAATGCTTTTCTCACAGCTAATTGCTCCCAAGAGGTTGTGTTTTCTCTGTTTTTAGAAGGAGAGTGACTAAGAAAGAGGGTTTTTAAACCTCTGCACTGTACTGTGGGACAAAGAACGGGGGGGGGGGAGAGGAAAAAAGAAAGAAAAGAAAAAGGCACAACAGCTGTAATGTTCTATGAAATGATTTTGTTCTGTTCTCTTGCCGGGGTGGTGGGTGCAATCATCACTTTGGCAGAGATAAATACAGAAAAAGCAAGAAAATTTACAGGAAAGAAAGGGGAGTCCCGGCTGCAGGAGTACCACATTGCCATCTAGTGGCACCGGCTTGGGAAGCCGAGCACATGCAGCTCTGCAGGCGCTCCATGCCTCCCCTCGCCGGGGACTGCCTCTGGGCAGCAGGTGTGATTCCTGAACATGGGACCCAGCCTCCTTTCAGTGCTTTAGAACCGAGCCTGACAACTGTCTATAAAAGGCAGGTATAGGAATGCAAGGGAAAAAATCCAGCAAAGGATGTTTAAGACAAACTTGGCTTTGCTGGGCAAAGCTGATGTTTACACTGGGGCCGGCAGATTTCCATCTTTCACTGCTGCTACACACAAAGCCACCAGAGCCTTGGCATGTTCTGCAGTTGTCATCTATGGCAAAATGAGAGACTGGCAAGAACAGCAAGGGCTACCTTGTCCCAAGGAGACAGGCCTCATTCTAGACCTGATGTCATGTTCCCAATCCTGTGGGACCAAATGCATCAGTACCTGTATGCCCAGCTGCTATCTTCAGTGCCATCTCTGAAAATTTTCACTCTGCTATGTGCCTCGGCGCTGAAACATTCCCTTTGTATTCCAGAAAGAATACAAATGTTAACCTTTCAACACTGAAAAAGCAAAAAGCCAAAATGCTAAGCCCCATAGATAGCAAAAGGCAGGCACTCCATCTTTGGAAGACACTCAGCAAAGGGCAATGAATGAGTTGTTTTGTATGAGCTTCACACAGGGAGTTAAAAAGAAGAAAAGAACTTTGGTGTATATGAATTCTGATGTTCATTGAAAAATATTAAAGTGGAAGGTCCTGACTGCAGCAGACATCTATTTAGCCCGGCAACAAAAAATGAACTTTGCCAGAAGAGAACCATCATTTTGGGAAGCAATGAAAGAAGTCTTGCATCAGGAATCCAAGACTGCCCACAAAACTCTGCCTCATGGCAAAGTACTTTCTGTTCTTCCACTTCCCACTGGAAATAAATTACTACCCTCACAGCTTATGAGCAATGAAAGGTGACCAGCAAAAGACTGCATTTGGCCCTGGTGTGAAGGACAGAATGACTAGCTCAGCATTAGTTCTGTGTCTTTGGTCTCTGAGTCCTGTGAAGCTTCACAGAAACACACCTGTACTGCATGTTCCCTAAACAGCCATGTCAACAAGGGTGATGTTCTTTGATATTAGCAAATATAATGTGGTCTTCCAAGAAGAAAGGAACTCACAGTTAAGTTCTGCAAAATGAAGGTAACCTATACTGCTCCAGTGAATCAGTCTTACAGCAGCATTTCTTCAAAAGCCCAGAGTGATGACCTCTGCAAATACTTCGGTGAACATTATGATGACCTACACATACTTTGAATTTACAAAATCCATGCTGCATCAATCAACAAAATGCTTGTGTTGTCAACCAAGGACCAAGCACACAACACCTGAAACATTACCAGGAGTTGGGGAGGCAGAATTTGAACAGTAAGATTAGAAAAAAAGGAAAGGCCATGAAGGGTCCCGTCTCACAGCTCCATTGCTGGTTCTGTCAGACTGCAATCTGCTTAATTTTTTCTTTAAAATGAGAGTGTAATTCCTGTTTCTACTGAAAATGTGCTGCCCAAGGTAGGAGACATCCACCTGTGAAAAGATCTACAGTCTAATGACAAATGTTATCAGGCCTGATGAAAAATGTTGAGGGCAACTCAGCAAACACTTTCTCCCAGCAAAAACTCCCAAACTGGGCAGAGTCTCACACCACCATCCTGAAAACTGAGTGATTGAAGAGATTTTCAGATCAAATCAAATGTCACCTCAACAAAAGTTGCAGCTACGTCACAAGTTACCACGCACTGGAGGGTCCCAGGTGATATTTCCACCCATTTGGAGCAGTTTTTCAAAACAGTAAGACTGGAAATTGTCTTCCAGCTTTAAACGTCATTCATGCTACAAAAATATCATCATTCAAGGCCAGGCTGGATGAGGTTCTGGGTAAGCCGATCTAATTGAAGATGCCCCTGCTCATTGCAGGGAGATTGGACCAGATGACCTTCGGAGGTTCCCTTCCAACCCTAACTATTCTATAATTCTATGAAGGGAGAGATTCTACATAAGAGCCAATTGTTTTCCCTGCTTCACATTTTATGACAAGAAGCATTGGGAGTGCACTGCCCCAATATCAATACCTTCCATCCCAGGATCTCTGTGCCCTTTAGAAAACAAATTTATCAGCACTTCCTTCCATAGTCACCCAGAGAAGCCAAGGTGCCCCCATGGTTAGCTCAAGCTCCCACTAAGAACCAGTCTGTTGGTCCTTGAGGGTGGCAGGATACACCGGTCTGATCATTCAACCTTCTGGGCATACAGCTACCACATAGGCAGCTGCTTCAGGTATATCGTCCTCTCCTTTGCACATACTGGCTCCAATACAGAAAAAGGAGGCTAGAGCCATCCTGTTCACAGGTAACATCTGCTTTAACCATGAGGACTTGCGAGAGTCAGCAGCAAGCTTTAGAAGACTGTACTGTTTTTAAGGATGGGTCAACCATCCAAAACTGGGCTACAACTTTCTCCCAGTGAAGTACCTCTCCAGTTTTCAACCATTTGATCAGGTTGTCATGTATTCACCAACATCTAGGTGAACACTGACTCACTGCATTTCTACACTGTTTGCCTTCTTTATGCCTGCTTAATACCTATGTCCCAGTTTTCCTACTTACGTGATGGCGTCACCAAATTTCAGGCACTAAGGTATAGGCTGATTACAAAGTTTTGACAGAACAGTCAGAGTTCCTTCTAAAGTTGCTATCAAACAGCAAGCCAGATTCCTGAAAGACTGCTTCTTACATTTACAACGCAGAAGCCACTTATGAACAGCAAGACTGCCAGCAGAATCATTAACCCAGTACTCAACAATTCATGTTATTTGATTCCAGCTTGGGGGGTGCTGTGCTTCAAATATTTTCAATTATAGAGAATGCCTTTAATACTTTTTTTATCTTTTAGTAGGTTTCATGATATAGAAGCAGGTCTACGGTTGGTGGAGGTCTGATTTTTCCTGATGGCAGCACTAACTAGCACTAATTAGACAGTCTAAAAAATAATATGATGTAGAAAAGGAGCAAGCTTCAGAGCTTCATACATAATTCAGATAAACAAAACACCCACCCAGTAACTACCAAAACAATCATACTATCCTAAACCTTACCTTCTCCCTTCCTGTGTCCCAATGTCCTGCTCTTGATTGCTTAGGTTGCCATGAGGAAAGGACCATGCAGGGTAAATTACAGGATCAGGACCGCAGGCTGTGAGCTTGCAGAAGCAGAAGCTTCATCTGGACAGATTCTTCAGAGTGCCACACACATCTCTGCTGACACAGAAGTAATAATAATAATTTCATGCTAAGAATTCTGCCAGTGCAAACGGCCAGTAGATAACATCCCTACAGAGAAGTAATAAAGGACCCTTAGTTCTGTCAGGCAACTTCTAACATAAGCCAAGAGGCCTCATGTTAAAGCTAAAAACTTCAGATGGAGACATAAAAGCAAATTAAATGTAAATCAAACAGCAACCCCCTCATGGTTATGCAAATTCAGCTGAGTGTCATTATAGCAAACACCCGAACTAGAAGAACTCAATAAACATGGAGGCTGCAACCTGGGGTCAGATGGGGCTTCTCCCATTCTATATATAAATATAGTCAAAAACTCCCACCTCCTTAATTCTAGGAACTGTCAATCTTCACTGCAGTAACTTAGAGGATCAAGATGTTACATTATACCAGGTCAATGTGTGGTAAAAGCAAATTTCCATCAAAACCACACTGTTCCCATCAATAATGAGATACTGCTGTGAATTGATTAGGCATGTACTATCAATTAAAAACACCAGTTTCTCAAAGAACATGCTTGCTCAAGAATCCCTTTTCTCCATTTCTCCATTTAATTAGTCATTGCATTGTAATTAACAAATTCATGCAATCATTGTCATTTTAATCATCAAAGCTGAATGTACATTCCTTCTAATTAAATAATATTAAATACAACAAAAGATGCTAACCAGGTTGTTTCAGAGCTCCAGGAAATACTCTTTTACATACATGCCAAAACAGGCAAAGATTGGTTTGTTACAGCAGATTTCTGTATCTTCCAGGCTATCTTACAATTAACATATCCAGACTGACCTAAGAAAGGAGAAGCACAGTTTGCAGAGACAATATAGTTTAATTAACAGCTCTTTCTCCAGATTCTTGCCATGTTTTAAGCACACCTTGAAGAATTCCTTACTAACAAGTTGAATGTTTGGAAAAATGCTGAATGACAGCTACAAGGGCTGAAAACTTCCATTTACTTGTGTGGCACAAACATACACTGCAAAGACAGTCCAGGAAGCAAAGAAAAATCACTTCACTTCTGAGGTGCAGGAGCAGCTAAGGTTTAGTTTCAGTACAAATAGCTGCCTCAAGCCACGACAGAGACCCCAGCAGCAAACTTCATGACAGCTACAGGAGTGTAACAGGGCGAGTAGGTTTTGCCACCTTCAGCTGAAATTCAATCAGCAGCAAAACTGCACCCTGCCACAAACCTATAACATCTTAATGTGGCCCCCCCATTTCTTTTGTTTCGGTTAGGCCTCCTCACAGGGGCCATCACAGCCAACTCCAGGCAGAGTCTCTTCCACCCTTACTGCAGTGAACAGGTGTTCTCCTTTACTTCAGCTAGCAAAGCTCATCCAAGAAAATCACAGCTAGGAAAGGGAAAACTCTTCTCTTGCATGCCTGGGAACAAGATTTAGTTGCATCTTGTGGCAGAGTTTAGCTTGTACAATGCTTATATATCTACCTGGTTTGTGTTGAGGGATGGAGAGAAAGAAAAGGGAAGTCCTTCCAATCATGTCATCGCTACAAACCAAACAGAATTTTAGAAGCCAAAATTAGGTATCAGTAGAAACATGTGCCACTGCTGCCCCACCGATCCTGTCTTATACACTGTACCAAATTCGTCTGGACAAAATGCTGCACTGCATCACCTCACCAGACAGGAAGATTCTAAAAATGAGGATTTTGCAGGATGAGCTTGCACAGAAGGTGTGTGCACAACTGCCCTCTGCTGTTTAGATTAAGACCTGCTCAAATAAATGATAGCATGGCCAAATCAGTTTTCAGTTGCAAGGGTCCAAGTTATGAAGAGGCAGAACTTTCTGACTTCAGCTGTTATCAGCCTCCATGCACACTTATCAATTTCATACATGAAAGCTATTCAAAACTGTCTTGCAGCATGGACCACCCAGGCAAACTTGCAGGCTGTAGCAACACTGCTAATTGCAACAACACTGTTCAGCAACTCTCACACAGGGGGTGAGCAGCAGCAGACATCCTCTCACCCCAAAGACAAGTCAAGAACATCCTCAGGGTGTAAGGGAAATTATGGTAATTGTGAGCAAGGGCTGCAGGGAGACACACATCTGTCAACCCATTAAATCAAGGCCTGACCTTTCACAAAACAGGAACTGGGACTTCATGTCTGGAGGCAAAAGCTTATAGCACAGAGCCTTTAGGAGTTCACGATTACTATGTTATAGCAGCAGCTGGAAAACAGGCTAGTGACCTTACTGAAAAATGTTTAGTAAATATTCTGTAAAACTAGCACTTGTAAGCCTCTACTGCAGGGAAAGAAGTGAGAACCTGGAGTTTCTTTCAAGAACATGTGGAAACCACTGTACTTTGAAAAAGCTGCCCACCATCTAGTGCCAGGATGCTGGACAGCTGGGCACAGAAACAGCACAGAGGGGCCAGCTGTTTCTATGGCTTCACTCACACATTCATACATGGGATGGGGCAAATTCTGCCCTCCGAGAACAGCATCAGACGTCCACATCTTCTTTGAGAAGCTCTGTTTTGGTACAAATGCAGAAAATAAGCACTATTACCCACACCAGAAGCTGTTTCCACAGTGCCTCTGACGAAAGCTAGCCCAGTACTTGTGAATTAACCACAAGTTTCAGCTCTTTGTAACAGGCCTTTGGTCACTGTACAAAGACAACTATAAACTATACTGGTCAGTGAAAGCACACACTAAAAACAAAACCAGGACTTGGGTACAACAGAAGCCTTGAAGAAAATCTTTTTTTTCCACATCAGCCCTTTTCATATCCATATGTTTTAAAAGGCAGAAGCATGGCTGTATGGTACAACATGCCTTTGAAACACTCACTAAAAGCACTTAGTGACCACTTCAAAGACTCCCTTGAAGTTTAACTCATGTTAATTTTAACACAACGGTCATGTAGGGCCACTGTTCAGCCTAAGGGACTTTAAACACACCGTCAACAGATGTACAAATGAAACTTAAGAAAGATTCTTCTGGGTGCATGAATAGCTGGAGCTTTGCTTTGATGATGGCTGGCTGGCCTCCTACACAGCAGGGCTGGGAGTTCTCCATTTTTCAAGTTAAGGGCAACAATAACAATCCACCACCCCGCAGGGTAAGGAAATTAGTGCCAGATGATTCGGTGTGATCACTCTGGTTTTGGATTCGATTCCATTATCGACAAAACTTAATGGCGAGACATCAAAGGTAGTCCTGCATGACCATGAAACTACTTGAGGTTCTCCTATAAAAGCTGCCCGAGAAGCTTATAACTGATGCTAGGAGACTTCCCAACATAAAACTAACAGACCTCTAATTTCCCGTATGAGAAATCCTCTTAGTGCTGGAATCAAGTGCCTTGCCCTTGGAGCACCACGTAAGGGAAGATCACACCTTCTGGGAAAAAGATTAGTAGTTTTACCTGCAGTAAACTAAGACTACAGAGCCCAGCAGCAGCAAACCCACAACTAGAATGGCTCACTTCTGCCTTTTTTTGATTTGCACAGGTGAAAACACCGCACTATGTACAGCTAACACAATGGCACTACTGCGACTGAAGCAATACATCCATCACTACACTTCCGATGACCTGCACTTTGCTGATGCCTGAAACCAGTTCTAAATTACAGCCTCCTCCATCCATGGGCTGTGCATGCTAGCTACACACCAGCGTCAGCCTGCCATTGCTGGAGCAACAGCCAGTTCTCATTCCAGACAATATCCTCAAGTCTTCAGTTTGTTGGTTATCAGCTTCACCAGGAGATTTGGGGAGAAAAAAAGAAACTACCTTAAGCCTTGTTAAAAGGATTCAAAAGGATTCAACATCCCCACCCTATTAGCCAAGGCACTGAAAACAGGTACCAGAGTTCACTTTAGCATACAAAGCAGGTACTTCTGAGTAATAAAATATGAGAACATACTTGTACTTAAGACTACATTTAAACTATGCTATCTAAAATTTTGTCTGCATCTAACTTTTCAGGATCAAGAAAACCAAAAGGGGTTAAAGCAATGTGTATCTATGATGTTTGTTAAAGCAATGATCATCTGTACACATAAACAGACTACCACCAAGTCTTCCATCAGAATCAGAATTGGCACCCGGCTTTGCTAAATCGTAATTTTGTTCAGGAGAGCTTTCTGTAAACTAAACTGACTTCAAGTTGTTGACATTATACCAAAGAGCATAGAAAACTGTTCAGGTTTGAAGGAAGGGTGCCACCTGCCTTACACTGTTTGGGTTTGTTTTTTGAGGCAGGGTGGAAGACTTGGATTTACTTTAAGAAACATTAAAAGCTGAACCAAAAAGATACTATACTGAAGCAACCACCACCAGCAAGGACAACAAGTAAATATGCCAACAGTTCTGTCAGCATAACCTATGAATCCTTACTTTTTGCTTGTAAGGGTTAGAAAGGAAAACTCCAGAAAGCCTCACTGTACTCATTAAAAACAGTGGACCCTTCTGCAGTTTCCCAGTTTTTCTTATGTTTTCTAGGTACAGAATAACTTTGTCCCTCTAAAACAAATTAAAATGGAAAGAGCACACCAGCCGTTGTCACCTGAAGATCATGGCTACTGAGCTTCACCTTATGCTACCTGAACAATTTCCGCACAACAGAAAGACTGAACTACAGCCAGCTGTTCACAGAATTTATGTTTGTACCAGCCATTAACTTCAGGTTTTTTTGCATTACAGGAAGATTTGACAGCACCTCAAATCTTGGGAAATTGTGTTTTCAAGGAATTAACGGGGAAATATCTCTCCCATGGCAAACTGTCTAAGCAGACTGATTCAGTAAGAGTGATTTCTACTCCCAAACTCGGGTACTTGATTGCTAAGCGACCACTAAGTACCCACTTAACCTCTCAAAAGATCTGTGCAAGGCTATTTCTGAAACACTGAGACCTAAGGTTTGGAAAAACCTGACTTTGAGGAAACTTACACCAGGCTTCAGAGTGACAGATGGGAATGTTGGCTAAAGTGCTCTCTGAGTATCTGGCTTCTACTTGGACTATGCCACCTAGTACCTTGTATTGGCATCATCAGCACAAACTATCAGCCGCTCTGAAAGATAGACACCTTAAATCACTTTCATTTTCTCCTTAAGTTAAAACAAGCCATGTTTTAACAAACACCAAAAATACAAAGCAGTGTTTTTCATTGTTTCTTCTGACAAACGAGTGGTGAGAGCACAAAACCAGAGAACAGTGGAAGCCAATCTGGTTTCACATTTAGAACACCCTGTCCATGGAAAACTTGCTTCCAGAAGTATGGTTCTGTTTTTCACTTGAGCCTGTACATTACTTGCCTCCTTTCCACTGGCAAAGGAAAACCTACCTACGTTCAAGTTTATGGTATCATACCATACCAAAATTTCACAACATCTTTCTATATCTACTAGCTTTAGCTAGTTTAGCCTAGGGATATCTTCATCTCACCTTATCAGTGCAATTTTGTTTCTTAAGACAAATGCCAAATACTGTTAACAACCATTTTCTATGGTCTTGAAGACTAGAGACTGAAATGTTAACTGCCTATCTTGCAAAAAGGTTTCAAGCTTTCAAAAAAGCCCAGCTTTTGTGCTCTTACAATCTGCCCCAGATTCTATTCCGAATAGCTTTATTTCAGACACCCGCATTAACAAAGCTTTCATGTTTGCCAAATACAGTTTTGACTTGCATCACTTTAGATGTTATTGTTACTGACAAATGGATTTGTCATTCCTTCTGCAGCCAGCCAGCTATTCTCATTCTGATTTGCGTTTCTTTCTAAGGTGATCGGTTACTGTTTAAATGATCACACATCTATTTCCTCACAAAATGACACAAGGTTTTAAACTTGCTTAAAAGCATTGGAAGACCAGCCGTAACATTAAAAATAAATTTTAATGTTAAGTCATTTTTAGATCATTTGCTCTGACACCCAGATGTTCTGAAATTTAAAGTAGTACCATAGGGACACACAAATGCAGATAAATCTTTATTGCCATAACCTTGTTTTTTCAAAAATGAGCATTGGGTTTTTAATAGGTCGTAGGTTTATGTCTTTATATGTACAACATTACAACTGCATATTTTAATAATAATGAAGTCAGTGATACTTTTGATAACTCAACACAGTGTATTTATAAAATGAATTCTTATCAAAATACACTTTTCACTGGGATAATAAATAAAATCCTGCGAAACCCACCTACACAAAGTTAATTTTAACTCTGGTAGAACCCGATGTGGTACACAGTCCATTAACTACTATGTTTGCCCCTTTATGCCCCTAGTGATGCTCATCTTCTGGGGTAAGAAAACATTTTTTCCCCTGGTGTGGTGTGACCTCATTCAACATCATCTTCAGCCAAGCACTGTGCATTTACAATTCTCTGTAAGAAGGAGAAAAACTCATTCACAATTACATAAAATTGACAGTAGGCAACTGATTATCAAGCAATGTAATTTTACACTGAACTTTAAGCAGTGTAATTACTGAGCAAACCAATTAATGTTAAAAATGGTAACCTACTTGACATAAGTGTTTAAAGTCAGTTCTGCAGAAATTACGTACTGTGCAATGCCTACCAAAGTTGAAGTCAAATAATATCCTATCAGCCTCCAGTGATGACCTCTGTGTGGTTTTTGTCACTGTCCTCTAAGGAAATATTTTTCATCACTGTTTCCCTGGACCTTTACATCTCATGTACCTGACACTTTTCAGTGTTTTTACTAACTATATGAACCTTGAACCAAAATGTAACCAGCCCTGGGATGTAAAGAGAGCTGACTGATGCACAGCACTGAGTTTCTGCTTTATGTGAGGTAACAGCATTAGGCAGTACCCTTGTGTTTCCAGGAACATAAAACAAATTTTTATTTTACAACAGACTCGCCTGCTGGCGTATCACCAACATTAACATTTCCTGCAGAGTACTCAAGCTAAAAAGGGAGGGAATTTCATAACAGGGAAACCCGCAAGCTTCCAAACCTGTCATGCTCTGGTGCTAGCTAACATTTTGTGTTTACAGCTGGCCCAGAAGCAACATGCTACCAAAAGCAACAGACTAATTCTAATGGATTTTTATAGCACTACAGGCACTTGTAGGTATATCATTTTTAAAAATAAAGCTCAAGACCCAGTGCAAGAAAGTTACTGCTTTTCTGAGCCCCCGACCTGTATGTGAGAAACAGTGGATCCACTTACAGTACCACAGCTGCAGTCAGGTGTCTGTCTCTATTAAAAAAAGAGCTTAGCATAGCTACGCATGAGAGGAGTTTTGTATTTCTGTTTTACCTTGTTTGCTACTAATGCTACATGGTGTTTTTCATGTACACTTTTTAATATTTCAGGTGAAAAAAAGCTTCTTTTAATCTAACTGAACATATGCAAAAAACAATACTCAAGACTGACGTAGTGTATGAGAGAAGTAGGTCAATTCTTTTCAAACCAAGCCAACAGGGAACACTTCACATACCTGGCTTATTGTAGGGAGCTTAGTTAGAAGCATTTGAAACACTGGAGGTGGTAGAGTCTGCTGTAGAACCTGTAGTAGCTGCTGCGGCTGTCCACACACAGCAATGGCATTGGTCAAGTGATCAACACCTTTCTCATATTCACCTGTAGAACAAATCATGTTTTGAAATAAACCTTCTTCCACCCTGTATTTACATAAAACATCCATCAACAGTAGGTTAAACTCCTGAGACTCAATCTACACTTTTCTTTCCTCCACCCTTGCTGGATCTTCTGAACGCAGAAGGTTAGAAAAAAAGTGAACATTTTCCTAGGTGAATTTGACTTCCCAGAAGATCTTAGTATATAAAAATCATCTTCTAGAAAAGGTAAAGAAAAATTACTTTACAACTTACCCCTCAAAAAAAGATATGCTATTACCTTGCGCTAGTAGTTCCTCCCCAAGCTGAATCTCCTCAAGGAAAAACTTCTGAACTGCTTCAGCATCTTTCAAATCAGGCAGCTGTAACACACAGAGTAAAGCTGAAGTTGTTTTTTAACTGATGTTTAAGGGACAAACTAACAAACTTTCATTCTCAACTGAAATCAAACACACAACCATATTGTACACTGAAACTAGGAAAAACCTCATAAATTAGAAGTGTCACCACAAACTTAAATGTACAGAGAATGTCTCTGAAAATCAGACTTGGATCTCACGTCATCGCATCACAAATATGTAAAGAAACAGCGCCTGAAATACTCCTACTCAGTTTATTAAGTTCACAATTTTGTAGCAAATATAAACTCTAAGATGTGTTATGTCTATCACAACTATATTTCTTACAACTGGTTAAGACAAGTCTATCTTTTATTCCGGGATCCATCAGCAACAAGGAAAGAGAAGTCAATTATAGGAAAATGCTATCAAGTTCAGTAATAGGTATATGACATCATGATCTTTAAGTTTGCAAAGTCCTTGTAAATACTAAAGAGGAAAACACCATTAAATCACACAGGAAATGTTGCACTGTCTGGCCTCTATCTAATACAAAAAAGGAACAACCATTTATGAGCATTAAGGAAACCAAAGACCGGGCACTTGCAGAAGTGTTTCTAATGCTGGAATCGAAATAGACCTTTAAACAATTCTTACAAATACTACAAATTAAAGATGTTTCAAAATAGCACTGCATTATTGAACACAGTATTACCTTGGAAAGCCCTGCTTTCTCTTTGGCAAGCTTCTGCTTCTTCCTTCCTGTAAGAAGGAAAACATCTTACATTTTTAATTTGCAATTAAAAAAAGCCTTCAGGTTACAGCTTGAAACTGTGAACAAATCAAAGTTATTTTCAGAATAAGAAACTGATAATACATTCCAAATATTGAAGATTGAACACAAGACTGCAACCCACTCTCTGCAACAGAATATCATTTAGAGGTCTAATGAGGGCTGGCAGTAGAAAAACAACTCAAAATGGCAATTTTCCTCCTGCTGGCTATGGTAAACACCAACCGTGCAGGGCCTCATGCACTAGAGGCATGAAGACGGGAAGAGAATTTGAGGAACACAAGACTTCTCCACATGGTTTCTAACAATGATAAAACACAGAAACACTGCCTACAAGGTAAGGCTACCTAATTTTCATAGCAGGTCACAGTACGTAAATGTACCTTCCCAGCTGCTTTACAGCAAAGCCTTGGGAACTAAACAAGGGGCAGTATGTCATCAACCCACAGCAAGAGCAATACTAAAGTCTACATTTCTGAGCTCTGAGGAAAGCAAACATTTACAGATTTAACTGCTCAACCTGAAGGCATAACACTGGTCTGCAACACAAAACTGTACCACTCCAGCAAAACTAGTGTAATTAAAGTTATATATAGCTTGCTTTTAATGAACTTGGGTAGGTAGAAAGATATTTTATAGTAGCAACTATTCTTACAAGAAAGAATAATTACAGTCATACTGATTTACTGAGAATAATGATTTTTGTAACTCATCAGTTCATCACCTGAAACAGTTATACCAATATTACTTTTAAAATATAACCTATGGTTAAACAACAATTTTACAAGCTAGAAATAGTTCAAAATATGATTTAGCATAATTTGAACTATTTGACTATAATTGAACTATTTAACTAACTGAACCATTTAATCATTAAGTATCTGCTATTGTCCACATGATGCAGACATTCAAGAATACCATTTCCCAGTAGTGATAATGTAACATGAGAAATCTATGGACAAGATCAAGTGTTCTTCATATACAGGGATTTCACATTCTAACTACATGGATCACCCTTTTACCTTCTACAATACCTTAGTAACTCTTCACACCTGAATTTCTACAACTTACTGACCTGTGTCTATAATTTTATAATTAATATACAGAAAAATGTGTCATACAGAACTGTAGTGTTCTGTAATTTTACCATTATGGTTGGTTTCAATATTAAAGAATATATATTTCTTGAAAGTTCATGCCTTCAATTAGCTCACTCTGAGTTTTCTGAAGCATTAATTTGCCCAAAACTTTAAACTGCGCTACCAGGCAAACCACCTTCGCTCATACATAAAATCTTAAAGAAAAAAAAAAAGTAGCATGTGAAATGTTTCACAATCAAAACAAGCCACACCGCAACTGTAGCACATTCAGTGAAAACATCAATGAAAAGTAAAAAGAGCAACATAATGTTTGTACATCCTCTTCAGGAGGAAACTGTTTTCTTGGTGAGACTATGACATCTTCTAAAATATCACAAGAGATATCACTCACCAGGTTAAGTAATCAGAGATATAAAGTAACCATAACTAGCTGTAAGTACCGGAAACTACTTTAGTTAGTAAGTTACTAACTGCAAGTAAAGTAACCAGCAGAGATATGCTGGTAACTGTACTTATTTAATAAAAGCTTTTAACCACTGATCTCATATGACATCATATACTTTAACCTGAAAATAGTAATGTGAAGAATTGCCAAGATTTTAAAACTGAACACTGACCTACAGACTTCCAAGTCTGATTACTGTGCAATTTAACTTCCTTTTCTTAATATGTTTTCACAGGTATCTCTAAAAGTCCACTAGTTAATACAATCACAAAAAAAAAACTAACCAACCAACCAAAAAAAAAACACCACCACCCCAAAAAATCCCAAACAGCTCTAAAAGCTATTTAGGAATTCTTCCCCTATGAGTGGGTAGCACTGCTAATGTAACTTGTGTAAGCAAGAAGCAATAGCTTCAGGGATAAAACTAAATCCACCAGAAAAAAAACAACCTCAAACGCCATATATTTTTGGTTTTTGCTTTCCCTCAAGGACCTCCAAGAAAAACCTCCCTCTTTTCTAAAGACATTACCACATTTAGGAAAGGGGAAGAGCAATCCTTCATAGAAGAAATCCTAGTTAACGGCAAAAAGCATGTGCACCCATCCAAACCAGAAAGCTAAACTTCAGCTCTCAAACTGCACAACATGCAGGTCCTTCAGGCACAGCTCTTGTTGATGCAGAGTGAGTTTCCAAACATTATAACCTGTCATGCTGGCACAGGTTGTGAAAATCCCTGAGTTGCCCCAGCAGCTTCACAGCCAGTCCCGCAAAGGAGAGAAATGACCAGAAAGCCATTTGCATCTTCTGCTCCCATCTGTAAAGTCTGCCCACAGCTCTCCCTGCACTCACCTGTCCAGGTGGAAGGTGCTCTGAAGCAAAGTTCTGCATGGTAAGAAGTTGTGGCTGTCTTTATACAGCTGTTTTTTTGTCCCTGCCCATGGCAGGGGGGTTGCAGCTAGATGATCTTAAGGCCCTTTCCAACCCTAACTATTCTATGATTCTATAACAGTTCTGGTTCATAAATTCCAGAACACGACTAGTAAACACAACTAAAAGCTTATCATTGTAAAATACAGCTGTGGAAGCAGCTCCAGATGTTTATAGCTTTGTTATTTTTTTGGTCCTAAGATTAAATATGGACATGCTCCCCAAACTGGCAACACCAAACCCTAAGAAAAACAAAAAAGGGTTAATGAGATTAAGACATCTGGAAAACTGGAGTCCAGATCTTTCAGTCTCCCAGGATTTTTTTTATTATTATTTTTTTTTAATCCTGAAACCTTAACACTTCACTTTTATGATGAGCCTTTGCAACATGAACTTTGATCCTAACACAACCCTAACAGAGGCACAATGTAACTGGGATGGCAAAAAAAAAAAAAAAAAAATCCTGGTTCTTCATTTGTCAGCAGGCACTTGACCAAATACGCCAGGCAATACACTGACATGTTGGCTCATGTCCTCCCCAAATTTTGGTGACACTGCACCACAGAGACTGAAAAATAATCTTATCCTAAGAAGATCAGTGGAACAGATCTGCTATAAAGGTGGTTTCTGTATGTTTTTAGTCAAACACCCCTTACTATTACCCAAGAAATGGTGTATCTTCATCTAAAGAACTGCAACTGGCTGCTGCTCTGGACCGTTTTTTGTCAAATACTTTGCAGCCCCAGCCTTGCTATCCAACAATAAAAGCACTGTAATGATCAGGTAGCTGGCATCACCACAGAAGCATCCACACTAAAGAATCAGCTACAGTACTAAAAATAAACCCAAATTCCTTAATATTATCTAAAGCTTGAAAACTAAAAGCAGCCCAGTGAATCACGTCCAAGGATCACAAGTCATACAGTGATGTCCTCCTAATGGCAACAGCCTTTACCTATCAAACCACAATGGATATTTTCCACTTTAAAGAAAATGTTAGCTCATAATCAGAGCAAGTCTTAAGGTTTATTCAGAACATTACTGGATAGAGCTCAGGTAATGAAAACCATGGGATGCAAAAATAACTTGCAGTGCTTCTGCAAAAATCTTACATCATGCAGTATTTCCTCTACTTTGTATTTAACATCGTATAAAGAAGATTATACTGCCAAAAATTGTGTTTGCTTCTGCAAGACAAGCATGTACCAGTTTAGTATACCTAAAACTTCACAATGAGTTGTGTGAAGGCACACAAGTATATGTCTAACATTCTACGTAAATGAGCAAGGGCCTTCAGCTGAAGTATTTGAAAGACATAATTTGCTGTGGAAGAGCTGACAGAAAGCCAAATTAATACTCTGTGAAGCATCAGTGCTGGTCATGCAACAAATTAAAGCCGTTAAGTTATGTTCAAGCATCATGAGGCAAATAGCAATTTTTAACCCATCTAGTTACTGACTCTTCCATTCACAAAACTACTGATCACGTTGTGTTTACTTGATGGGAAAGTTTACTTTAATGGTAACTTCTTATCTTTAGATTAGTTATCAAAAGGAATACTATACATATTCCCATGACAGAAACAACCCAGCACATAAATCACAGAATATTCTGGGTTGGAAGGGACCTTGAAAGGTCATGTAATCCAACAATATTTTTCATGATTCATTCAAGCACCTTAGATGAATTAGAGCACCTTGAGTACTCAGGCTTACTCTTGCACTTAATACCTTCACTATTTATTAAAAGAGCTAGATAAATGTTGAAGATGTGAAATAATGAAGAGCCACGGGAAAAGCGCTCTACATTTTGGATTAATCAACAGTTTTCTCTGGCATTCATTCTTACCCTGGAAGCTAATAACAGAGCTGCCAGGAGGGTTAAGAATGCAACAGATAAAATACCTGTGGGCAGCTCCTGGCTCCTGCCTTACCGCAGCACAACTCCACTGTAAGAGATCACATCCTTTCATAAACATCACCATATAAATGCAGTGGCCATAATGGTATGGCTGAGAGCGTGGGATGGCAATGATTAAAAAGAAAATAAGGGGGATAGGAACTATTTCCAAGCCAAGGCTGTGATGCAGAAACCCCGATTACCCAATAACTACACAAAGTGCAATAAAAACCGCCCCAGCAAGGAGGCTCCAGCCGAATTCACCAACAGCGTTTATGGCAGCTCGCGTATACATCACTCTTTGTAACAGTGCCGCACGTCAGTACACGTCTGACTTTTATCAAAAGCGCGTTTGTTCTTCTTCCCCGTTTTACTTCCCGGGGCAGTCCTCAGTCTCTTTGGCTTGCCGCTCTTCCTGAGCGGCGTGGCCGTCTCCCCGACAAACGAATCGTCAGGGCTCTGCTTGGTCCCTGCGGCGGTACCAGCGCCGCCCTTCGGAGCACGAGGCTGGCCATGAGTTTTCCGTGGCACTTTGCCTTTGTTTCCGCAGCGCTGCACCCGGACCTTTCTTCCCATCAGATCCATCCCGTTGAGCCTCAGAGCCAGATGCACAGCATCCGTATCCTACAGGGACAGACGTTCGCTTTGAAAGCTCCTTCCACACGAACAGCTGCCTGCCTCTAATTTTCGGAAGCAGGTTTTCTACAATAAGGAGCGCCCAAGCTGCTCTGTTTACTGAATGACACAGCAGCTCTGCTTAGAAACACCAGCTTCCCCAGGTAGCCCACACACTTGAGGCATAGATACTTGAAAGTGGGCTGTGGAATAGCTTATGTGAGGTTGTAAAGGAAGAGAAATTAAGGAGAAACTGCAGAAAAAAATGTATCAAGCTGAAGGTGAAGAATGGGATTGATTGAAAAATGGGATTGTAAATAAATAACTTCAAGGACGTTAGGCTTTGTTAGCAACTATAGAGATAAGGAAATGGCTAAGATAAGCACTGCACAAGAACTGGCCAGAACCAGCCTGGTGGTTACTGACATGACAACGATCCTAAAACGAAGTGATGTAGAGGAAGATGATGAAGAAATAACCACCAGGGGTCCCAAAGCCCACTACCACATTTTAGTGCACATGCGGGAGGAATTCTAGAAGCATGACGTAATATATAAGTAACTCAATGAATATGTATGTAATCTAATGAATATGTATGTTTAAGGAAATATAATCACAGCCTGGTTGATGCTTGGAAGAGACACGCTAGGAGGAGCTATCCCCCGTGCCTCGGAGGACTGCAATAAAGAATACCTTCTTGTCAACTTAAACTTTGTTGGCTAGTTCCTGGACATTTCTCCGAATCAAAGGAAATAAACTAAGGAAGGCGAGGCTGGGAGACTGACATGAGAAAGAAAGCTGTACTGGACCCAAAATAGAGAGCCATGGAGCAAAAAGGCTTCAGGAAAGAATTGCACTCATACTCGCACACGTAAGAAATGGGAGAACACAGCAGTTATAACAAGAGAACTTATTTGTCCCTCCTTTAAGTCCTTCCCTTAAAGTTCATTTCCTTCACCCCAAAGTTTTACAACTTTTCTTTGTACACAACCTAAACCAGTTTGTTTTGTCTCTGCTTCCACAGAACCGGTCTTCCAAGCTGCTTTTAACAACCATACTACCACCACCACCATTTAATGTCACATACAAATAAAAAGTAAACGCCATAAAGGCAATCCCTGAATTCAGATGGTGAAGAACACCCAGTTCACACGTACCTCGAAGAGGACATAGCCAAAGCCCTTCCCCAGGCCGGTGCTTCTGTCCCTCACGATCCGCACTGCCACGACACCTCCACACACAGAGAAGTGCTCTCGCACAGCATCGTCGCTGATGTCTGCAGGCAAGCACAACAAAACAGATGCCTCTTCCATCAGGCACGCAGCCTTAGGAGCCTGGGCCAAACCCAAGTGTTTCGTGTTTACCAGTTTAGGTACACAAGCATTATATATTTATATGTATAGGTACACAAACATCAGTGGCTCAGAAACATTCCAGCAAGTTAAGAGGGCAGACTTTACAAAGTGCTATTTACTTCGAAAGTTAAAGATTTTCTAGCTTTGAAGAGTAGAACATAAACCACAAAGAAGAACAAAGGCAAAGACCAACATAGTATTTTCAAATAATTTCATTTATGGTTTGACTATACTGGACATTTAGACTGGTGCAGCTCTTTCTGATGCCAGAAATCTCTTTCTAGCAGATAATGAGCTTGCGCCAGCAGTTCCTGAAGTCTAATGCTCACTGACAGCGCTGTGAATTTTAGCTGAATGGGGGAGAAGGAAGAACATCTACAGTTTCCAACTACAGTTGCTGTATGATTATTCTGATAAGGGCCAGATGCATGAGGCTTTCTCAGTCTTGTGCCTACATGAACAGACAAGCATGACATACCAATACAAAACCACAGGTTGTTCTCTTTTCTGTGTAGGTATGCTTCATACTGTGGTAGATCCCTTTACATAAATGTAACCTTGTCTCTGCTATAGGGAGGGGCTGAATGTAGGAGTACAAGTTTAATCACAGCCATGGGAGGGCTGAGAAAGGTTCAAGCTGCTGACTTCCCTACCACTGCAAATGTCCTAACTGTTTTCTGTGCAGGATGTCCAGAGGAATATGCAGACCTGACGCAAACTCTACACATCAGGCATTAGTAACATCACCGCAGATTTTTTACCTATCTCATTTTCAGACAGGTCCAGTTTAAGGCTGAAGTCTAAAGCCTATTTGTTTTAGCATTACTGTCAGCAGTACATGACTGGCTCTGAAACAGGCCATGGGCATGGGGCATGCCTTCACACCTTCAGCCTTCACACATCCACACCACCCCCAAGTAAGATGCTCATTCCAAGCACCCTGACTCCATGAATACACTCCTGTGAATCATACCCGATGGCAATACCATATACTCTCCAGTCTGCTCAGCAGCAGCTGAACATTGGTCAAGCACGGACCTCAACTATATAGTAAGCCCCTTCACACAGCTAACAACCGGTTGCCTATAGCTGCCTGGACAGAGGCATTCAGCCTGTGGCTCACAGACAGCATCACAATGAGAAGCCACCTTTGTGTATCACTTGGAAGTAGTCCACAAACAGGTACCAGTACACATTTAACAGTTAGGAAGCTATGGCCTATGCAGTTTAGTCATACTTATCTTAAAAACATCCAGCACCAACAAGAGCTAAAGGTACCTGCAGTTCTAGCTACAATCAAGAAAACAATTAATGTGCAGAACTTGCCAGTAACTTATGGACCCTTTAGGTATTTCAGTTAAAAAATAAAACTGCTATTTAAAAAATTAATTCCAGCAAAAGGTATTTAGCTACCTAAACATGCTACCCAAAATATCAACAAATAACCCCCCACAATGTCAACATATTCTATGCATGTTAAGTAACGATGCATAACAATCCATTTCAGACTTACCATATGAGAGATTTCCCACAAATACAGATCGCTTATTGTCATGCTAAAAAAAAAATCCAAGATACAAGACAGTGAGCTATTTGTTACAGCAACAAAAACAACCAGAAAAGGGGTTTCTAGTCATACATCTTCCTTACCGAACTGCTTTTTGATGCAATGTCAACTCTGATGTGAAATCCACTAGCAATTTCTGTTCCATTTCTGTTGAAGCCAAAAGCAAAAGGTTTTTTAAATTAATTGTCACTTCATTTGCAGTATCATTGTACAGCATTATTCTAAAAGCAAATTTACATTTAAGCTTGAAAAAACATTTTATTCTGATTCAAGCAGAACCTCTTCAACAGGGAATGAGGAACAAAACTGAGACTTACTCCTTCAGAGCCTTAATGGCATCGCATTCTTCTTTAAATACAATGTAAGCATTAACAAACTTCGCATTAGGGTGCACCTTACGCCTGGAACATGAAAAAGACACGTATTGTTTAAATAATTCTGATGGTGTGCAGTGCATAAGCACTTCTTGTTAAACATATTTATGCCACCTCTTGTGTGCACAGAAACAACTCTCTTTCTCTTAAATGTATGATGGAGTCCCACTGTGCATGACATACAGCCTGCACGAGCATCCTGTCCAAGCTTCCTCAGTTCATAACTATATCCAAAGGAATTAAGGATTTTGCATCTTCCTCCTTCCTAAAATATAAGGAATGCAGCCTAAGATAATGAATTACTGGTGCACCAGGCACGGAATTCTTTTTCACTTGTGAAGAAAACTTACATACACACAAAGATAATTATAAAAGTCAAAGAAACACAAAATGAAAAAGTAAGCATAGCTAAATATGTAACAACCAACACTTAAAAATTTTTTTTGCCTTGAAAAATAAAGCAGGATATTCACAAGAGGAACTTACTTTATTGCTGCTAACTTTTTGGATAAAGTATCTTCTGCTGGAACCTTTAAGATAAAAAGAGCTTTAGTTAAGCAGGCCTAGTGTAAATTTATCTCAAATAAGACAAGGAATTCAAACAGGTACCATTCCCCCCCAAGCAATGCAGCCAGTACTGTGAGCAGATGATGGAAGCAGCTCATCCTAGAGATGATCTAGAAACATCTCAGAACTAGACAGCTTGCTTTGACTTCATCAGAGTTCCAAGACTGTTATCTTCAACTGTGTTACAGAATACACTGATTTGCAATCACTGTGTCTCTCCTACTATGGTTTAAAAAACAGGTAAATGAGCAATAATAAAGACATCCTTCCTCCAGACAGAATACCACTCTGATGCATTTTACCATCAACTGTTAAATGTGAGGAAAGCAAAGATGCATCTGTGGTGTTTTTGTGGTATAATCCCCAAGGATTCTTCTAATGGCAAAAAATACACCTCCAAACCCGCTTCTGAACTACTGAAGACACAGCCTTAGGAATATGACCCTTTAATACAAAAAAGTAATTCTTATTATACAATATTCTTATGTTATACAACATAAGTGAAAATAACGTACCAAAGAGCGGAATCGGATGGATTTTATTTGTCCATACTCTTTAAAACGAGATTTCAGAACCTAAACAGAAGATATTACAAATATTCAATACATTTTTGCATCCTAGTCATAAGAATTATTGTTGAATATTTACTACCAAGATTGGTTTTAACATGATATTAATTTTACTTATATAAAGTCCATTAAAGGGCTACTAAAAAAAGACAAGTAATTTCTAACTGTTTCTTGTGGCAGCTTCTTATTTTACAGATTGCCAAAACTGATTTTGTACCCCTTGCTATGGAGGAAAGCATAAAGGCAAACAGATTTCATGCAACAATCTGAAGTATTAGTTGCAACCAAAACTAGAATCAGACTTTGTAATTATAGTTCTCATTTATTAAGTAATTTTTTACTGAAAAAGAAACTAAACAATTCTACTAAAGAGCAACTGCTCTTTCTGCCACTGTAAAAAGCCTAACTACACTAAACAAAAGGGATCACCTCTAATGGTTTTAGATAACAAGCATTATTTCCTGCTTTCCCAAAAAAGAATTTTAGACACAAATACATGTGACCTCTCAGCTGGAAGCCTCCCCTCTAACCAAGGGATGGGGTAATTCTTTTCATCCCTTTAGTCACCAGAAAGCACTCACATACCTGAGTAGTACAGTTGACAGGCAAGTTCCCAACAAAGACGGTTCTTCTGTTTACCAATTCATCAACCACCTTTTTTTCCCTTTGTTGTTTTACAGTAGTGCCTGTATCTGATTTAACAACACTTTTGGTGATGGCAGAAGATGACTTTTTTTTTTGCCTGGTTTTATTTTGTAACAGTTTTTGCTTCTCCTCTCCATCTGCCTGCTCCAAAGCGCTCTCCCTTATCAAAAAAAGACAAGCTAAATAAGTGGTAGGAAAAAAACATAGTTTTTGAGGTCAAAGAATTGAAGCCTCAAAAATAAATATTTTAACTTACATTTTAAATTATTATGTTCAACATAAAATATCACCATTGTATTGCTTGTTATGTATTAAACAAACATATCTGACCATCCCATAACACGGAAAACTATTTGCTGACTCCAGGACATTGTATCTGATATTTAGTAGAGTAACAAAAAAAAATTAATTCATAATTATTTGATAACCTTTAAAATGGAAGGGAAAAAATCTCCAACATCTTTGCACATCAGAACTTGAGAGATTTAATTCTTCCTGGCATCTAGGACACTCAGAGCAATCCATCCTCTGGGATCCATTCATGCACTAACATTATCTCTATCTATCCAAACTTGCCATAACAGCAGGAACAACAAGCAGATCTGAAGAATCCTCTGGAAAGCTACTGACAGCAAAACAGCGAACAAGCTTCAGAGGCATGAAAGATGCAATAGCACACAGCGCCAGGGAGAGGACAATGTGTTAGCCTCCAGCTACAATCACACAAACTTCACTGTCCAGAGACCAGTTTCCTGCTTGCACCAACAGTGTCTTGTTTGAACCCCAGGTATTTAAGAGAACAGATGGTGTTAATACAGTTATTCAGCATCATGGTAGTGGGCAAGGACCATAAGGACAACTAACTGTTTGGTGCTGTGTGTTGTTGTCTGGTACCTTGCTCGTGCTGAAACTGCCTCTCCTTCTTTGGCAGCTGGATAAAGTCAGCTACAACTACGAAGTATCACCCTGTGCCAGAGAGACCTGGTCTAAATCTACAACCTCAAGGCCTGTTCTCTCTCTAACCAGGGATCTGCATTTCATGGACATAGAACTTCAAGAAGTTGTATTTGCTGCCTCCTGGGGCAAACTGCAGAAAATTTTCACAATCTTCTTAACCACAAGGTTCAAGATAAAGAGTAAAATAGAGCTTTACTGCTTCACTGAATTCATAATCTTATGAATAATCCAGATGCTGGGGTTTTTTTAAATCTTACTATGGGGATATCATCTACTCACCTGTTTGCCAATTTTTTATCTGCTTTTGAAAGTTCCTTTTTTTTGGCTTTCTTTGCTTTTACAGGAGGTTCTTCTATGACAGGCAAGCTCTGGTCTTCTGATGCTTTCTCCACTTCTGCTTTCTCCACTTCCTCTGCATGCTTTCTTTTCTTTTCTTTCTTTAAAAAAACACCCACAAACCAAGTTGAAAAAAGCAATCCCAGAAACACCTACAATTGGTTTATATATTGTAATTTACTTGGAGCACCACTACCCAACGCCAACAACTGCAAGAAGTGGTGCACCCAACACCCAGACCTGCCTGCTCACTGGGGCGCTCGCCCCACGGCTCTTCCAGGCTGAGAGCGGGTACAGCACATCCCAGTAAGCAACCATCAGCCTTGCACGCTAACCATTTACTTCTCAGTTCCAAAAAGGAAGCACTTTTGGCTGTCCATGCTCCTTGGGCAGCTGCCTGCCTTCCCACCACCATTATTCAGCCCCTCTGGGCACAAGCTACAAGAGAGGCATTGAGGCGCTGGAGCGGGTCCAGAGAAGGGCAACTGAGCTGGTGAAGGGTCTGGAGCACAAGTCTGAGAAGGAACGGCTGAGAGAACCAGGGGTGTTTAGTCTGCAGAAGAGAAGACTCAGGGAAGACCTTATCACTCTCTACAACTACCTGAAAAGAGGTTGCACTGAAGAGGGGGTCGGTCTCTTCTACGAAGTAACATGTGACTGGACAAGAGGTAACGGCCTCAAGCTGCACCAGGGGAGGTTTAGCTTATACATGATGAAAACTTTCTTTACCTACAGGGTGACCAGGCATTGGAACAGGCTGCGCAGGGCAGTGGTGGAATCACCGTCCCCGGAAGCGCTCAGAAACCATGTATATGAGACCCTCAGTGACATGGCTTAGTGGTGGCCTTGGCAGTGCTGGGGTAATGGTTCGGCTTAGTGATCTTAAAGGTCTTTTCCAACCTAGTTGATTCTGCGATTCCACGAACGCGCAAGCAGGAGGGAACCGCGGGGCAGAGCGGCACTCACCACAGACACCAGCACCGGCGGGGCGGCGGCGGCGCTGAAGAGCCCCGAGAGCGGCGCGGCGGGGGCCGCCGCCGGCCAGAGGCTGTCAGCTACTTGCCCCACCACGTACTGCTGCTGCTGGTACTGCTGCTCCTCCTGCTCCTCCGGGCCGGCCCGCACCGCCACCACCCTCCGCCGCCCCTTCATGGCTTCCCGCGGCGTGAGGGAAGACACGCTAGGGTCGCGTCACTTCCGGCGCGCGCCCAACGCGCGCCTTTGCCCGTGAGGGAAGCGGGGTGCCACCGCGGGTACAAGGTAACCTTGCTTTGGCAGTGCCTCGGGCAGCGCCCTTTGTGTGTGAACATACCTTAATGGTGGCCATCTGGCCTCATCCAGGGTAGAGTTTAAAAAACCAAACCAAAACCCAAC